TTGGGTTTGAACTCAGAGCCTACACCTTGAGCCACTACACCAGTCCTTTTTTGTGAAGTGTTTTTTCCTGGGCTAGCTTCAAACTGCAATCCTCCTGATCTCTGCCTCCTGAGTAGCTAGAATTACAGGTGTGAACCACTGGTGCCTGGCTAGCCACCATTTATTTTTTCTTTTTTTTTTTAATTTTATTGTTTTTACATCTACTCACATGTATACATTGTTTGGGTCACCTACCCCCCCCCGCCACCATTTCTTAAGGGTTTATTATATATGATGAACTATGCTAAAAAAAAAAATATATATATATATATATATATATTCCCTCATTTAATTCTCAGTGTTTCCCAGACTGACCTCTTGCTACAGCTTCCCCAGTGCTGGGATTACAAGCATTGCCACCATACCCAGCTTCTGAAGCATATTTTAAACACACTTCATAATGAGAAAACTACTGGCAGAGTGGCTCAAGTACTAGAGCGCCTGCCTAGCAAGCATAAGGCCCTGAGTTTAAACCCCAGTATTGCCAAAAAAAAAAAAAAAGACAACGACAAATGAGAAGCTAAGACTCAGAGAGATTAAGACCCACAGTTACGAAGCTAACTGGAGAAGCTCTTAACCACTGAGAACCACTCTTTACTGTGTCCAGGTCTTGAGATTGCTTACTGATAAATATCTAGAAAACTCTAGATGTTTATGTCTCTCCAAGACCTTATAAGAATGGTAGTGGTAGGACCCTGTATGAGTATCCTGGTCAGATGTGCAAAAGGACCAAATTGTAATAAGGAGAGAATGGCGACAGCCCTGAAGAACCTCCTAGGCCACTGAGGTTGCCTAGGTTGAGTATGCTTTTTTTGTAGCAGCCCTTATTTAGATTCTGAATCAGAGAAGCAAAAGCAAATGACAGAACTTTTGAAAATTGGCACAGTGAATTAGGTGCACTCCTGCAATCCCAGCACTTGGGAGACTAAGGCAGGAGGATTCCAAAGTAGCTTGAGCTATATAGTAAAATACTGTCAAGGGGAGGAAAAGAGGGGAGAGAGAGAGAGAGAGAGAGAGAGAGAGAGGGGAGGAGGAGGAAGGAGAGAAAAAGGAAGGAAAGAAGGGAGAGAGGAAAAAAAATCATGGCAAACCATCATCTCCAACTATAAGGCTGGCACTAGGTACTAACAAGGTCACACTTAAAATCACATTTAGACTTTGTCTATTCTCACCAAGCAAATGCATTCATAGGCTATTTCAGCCTTCCCCAATTAGCAGAAGAGGTCTTTGTCCTCCCTGTGAAGATGTACTGGTTGGGGTAACTTCGCAATTGCCTGTTGAATTGGACCGGTTAGGCTGTCAGCCTCGGGGATGGGGAGGAAGGAGTCAAGAAAAGTAGAGGTTGGACTGGAAGTGTGGCTCAAGCGATGGAGAACCTGCTTTGCAAGTGCAAAGCCCTGAGTTCAAATCCCAGTCCCATAAAAATAAATAAATAAATAAAAAGTAGAGGTGACGAGAACTAAACCTTTCTAGCTGAAATATCCATTCTCCCACTAAGGTAGTAACTCAATGGGAAAGTGTAGAAACAATAGCTTTTGGCACCTAAAAAATGTAGCACAACTCCAAAGGTGTAAAAGGTACAAAAAAGATCAAACATAAAAAGAGCAAAAAATGCCCATTATAACGAAACGGATTAGGGACTGTGAGGGATAGAGGAACCGATATCCACCAAGAACATTATTTCTTACTTTTGTCCTCAAATCTCTTGGGGAATCAAAATCTTTGCAACATTTTATTCTCTACATTACACTTCTTCTAAACATCATTAGAAGTGAGGGGCTTCCTTTCCCCAATCTGTGTCCTCTGGAGTCTCTGCAAATGCCAAAACCCCAGGACAACAGCTAGGTCAGCATGTGGCAGGTGGCCACTAGAGGGTGATGTTTCTGTAGTTAAGGGGATCTTCAGAACCCACAAACTTGGATGGGTGGGGCAGCCAACTGGACTCAGTACTGTACAGGAAGAACCCAGAATAAAGAGGAGATAAAGAAATAGTAAGTCCTGGGGTAATGATCCTTAATAAGTGAAGAGTAAAGAACAGGATGAGGTAGGACCAAAGATTTCCCACCAAACACCACAGCTGTCGCTCCTTGGAAAAGGAGATACTGGCCCTGAGCTCTCCCCAGATATATAGAGGTCAACAACAAAAGATTTCTCAGTTTATTTGCATATATACATCGTCATCCCAGGGAGCCAGCTCTGCTTACCTAGCCAACACCCAAAACTTATACAGGAAGGTGGGTCCTAGACAATCCACACCCAAGATTCATATCCTAACCCAAGTTATAACAGAATTCATTTAAAACAAAAACAAACAAACAAAGAAAAACAAGGAGCTAGAGGCCAGTGTCCAGGAAACATCTTTGCCCCATTTGTAAACATTGACACCCAGGTCACTGGAACCTGGGGAAAGTGTGCAAATACGAAGGTACCATACTGTGTCCACAGAGCCAAAAACACAGTTGGCAACCATACCCGTAAAGTCCTGAGGGTCTGTCCTCCACACTGGAGCCTGGCAAGTGCAGTAGCAGAAACAAGACAGTTACCCCATGCCATGGGCTCACATGAGACAGCATCGACGCTCTTGTCCATAGGAATTCTCCACTCGGGCAATCTCCTGGATGACTTTGGTAAAGATGCCTTGAGTCAGCTAAAAGGAATAGGCATTCAGGGAAAAAGTCAGTTCAATGGCAATACTGTCCAACTGTAAGGTGAACACAGCACTCCCCCACTATCTCCCACCACCAGGCAGTGTATGAGGAAGACACTGCTACCCCTGCCACCAGCGTAGTCCTCAGACCCAGCACCTGATTTTCTCGAGCAGATGACTCCATAAATGTTGCGCCCCAGGACTCTGCCAGCTTTTTCCCTTCAATTGCTTGTACTTCTCTGGAAGAAAATTTAGGACATAAAGATAGATAGCAATGTTCCCAAGTTGTCTATAAAATCTTTAGGACTTAGACATACTCTGATGCTTCCCAAAGCCTGAAGGTTTGAGATGAGGGTTGAGGAAGGAGAAAATATAAACAAAGGCATGATAAGAGAATATATGACTGGGCTTGCAATGTGTAATTTGACTTTCATAGTAGGATTATCTTCTCTTAACCCGCTAGTTATGAAAAGAGATGAAATGACTTATTTGAGTTAGTGGCAGAGCCAGCACTAGAGCTTGACTTATTTCTAGTCCAACTTATTTTCCTTTGCCCTGAGCAGCAGAGACTGCATACCTGTTTAGTGAGAGATCTGCTTTATTCCCCACTAGCACCACTGGCAACCTGTAAGAAGACAGCAGTTACTCCATAGGCCCCAAACACCTTCACAGCAAGACTGCACAACTCCCCAGTCAGACCAGGCATGATATGTCATAGTCTCCTCTCTTTTCTTTCCCACCTCCTCATGCCCATATTGTCTCTATTCCCCAGGACCACTTACCGGGTTTTCCCGTGGCCTTCATGTAGCTTTTGGTATAGACTCCCAATGACCTGGAAGCTTTAAACACAAGAAAAGGAGCTGAGGACATGGCTCAAGTGGTAGAGCACTTGTGTAGCAAGCACAAGGCCCTGAGTTCAAATCCCAGCACAACAAAAAATTAATAAATACATAAATAACAAAGGAAAAAAAAGAAATTGGGCTATAACCTTAGTTCTGGAACAACCCTCAGCTCCTCCCCCAGACTCTTCACAACCTTAATCACTTACCTATGCAGAGAGGTGATGGAATACACAAGCACATAACCATGGACCCCAATGATGAATGAATAGGGAAGAATGCTGTACTCATCCTGACAAGAAAGAAACATAAGGGATTGGAGGTGTGGCTCAAGTGGTACAGTACTTGCCCAGCAAGCAGGGGGTCCTGAGTTCAGTCCCTCCAGTACCACAAAAAAAAAAAAGAAAAGAAAAGAAACATCACTACTCAGACAGCAAAGATTGGTGGGATAGTATCCAGGTGACCCTCCCTGGGGTACTCCCTTTTCCAGTCACTACTATTCAACAAGTATTTATGAAGCAGCTCCAATGAGCCCTTCATACTATTAGCAGCTAAAATGCGTTTCTTTTAGCTGGGTGTGGTAGCTCAAGCCTGTAATGCCAGCATACTGAAGGTTGAGGCCAGAGGACCATGAGTTTGAGGCCAGCCTGGGCTACATTATGACACCCTGACTCAAAACCAAATCAAACTATCAGACTTCATGTCCTTGAGCTGAACTGCCACATTTGAAGACATTACCCCAGCTGGTACCTGCCCTGCTGTGTCCACCAGGTGTAGATGAAACTCATCTTTGCCAAGAGTCACTATCTTGCTGTAAGCTGGAAAGAAAAGAAAACTTGACTGTGAGGGGCTTTGTAGGGCCAGTGATGTATATCCCTATACCTTCTTGATTCTCAGAGTGATATATATGGATCACGTCCAGGGAGCTCTCAAAGAAACTGGTGAGACATTCTAGGGTTTTTAGTGTGTACATCTACACTATTCTGAACTGAGTCTTGCAAAATTCATTCTCTAGACACTCCCACTTCTAATTCTCTCTAGAAGATATTAGATTTAATATCTAAATAAATCAGTCCCTTGGCGACAAAAATCTTAAATTCTGGAGCTGGGTGGGGCACCCAAGACCACAAGTTCCTATCCTCTTCACACTTAAAGATTAGACTACTCACTATTCTCCACTGTAGGATCGTAGCCTCCCACGAACTCGCCTTCAACAAACTGATGTGCCAAAGATGTCTTCCCTGTGGAGAGCAGAGATATTGTATCTAAATCATCCATCCACATTCACATCCTCCATCCTTTCAGACGGTGGCCCAGGATCAACGGGCACCCCAAATCAGCCCCCAGTCTGTGAGTGCCCTAAGCAATGCTTTCTTTCCCTTAGCCACTTCTCCACAGCACTTTGGCTACCGGATGCATTCAGCAGCGTCGCAGGAAGCCTTTCCCTACCCCACCCCACCTCGGGAAGATCCACGATTCTCTAGGATTAAGTCCGCCCCGCCTCAGGATACCTATGATAATTTGCCCCACGCAAACCCCGACCGCGCCTTCCAATCCTGACTCCATCCCTGAGTAACGCTGAGGACCACTCCGATGCTCCTGCAGCGAAGTCCACATTAACCCTATGTGCCCCGCTTCCTGCAGCCCTCCACACACCACCATCCTTTCTTCTTCCACTCTTCTAAACCTCGCAGTACACCCGCCTTCTTACGATAACCACCATTTCTCCCAGGGTCGCGTTCCCGCGGCAGCGCGCCTCTTCTGGTCACAAAGCCGCGGTGCGTCGGTGCTCTCAGCAAGGCGGAGACTCACCTACAGAGCGGTATCCGAGGATGACCACCTTCCTATAACGAACCAGCGGCATGACAGGTACCCGCCCCGCGGGGCTTACAGAACTGCGGGCTGAAAGAGCCCGAAGACGAGGTCAGTTATAGACAGGAGCTGCAACCCGTGCAGGAAAGTCGCCCTGCCGCAGCTGCCTGGGGCAAGCCAAAGAAAAACCAAAACAAGCGCCGCGCCCGGAGCTGGCCACGTGATCACAACACTGCACAGCTAATGCGAAGGAGCCGGGCGCCGGGGAAAACTTATAGTGCCTTGCCTCTCCGCGCTCCGCCCCCCTGGCCGCTCGCCATTGGTCCATTAGAATGGATGAGGGCGGGGCCGCCGGGTGGAGGGAAGGGTGGGCCTCACGTGGAGCAGGAGATGTGGGACCTGCGCATGCGTAGACTTGAACGGGTTCATTCATAAAGAAACGGAAAGAAACCCGGGGTCCTAGAGGTGTTTGCACATTTGCAGCCTAGCAAAAGTGGTTGGAAAAAATCGAGGACGGAAAATACTCCTTGTGGTTGGGCTGGAGTTTCTGGTCAAAAGATTCTAGGTCTCCTTTTTTGCAAGATGTCTGGGGTCCTTGGCTAAGGAAAAAAGGCCGAAAGTGCCAGTGTATTCGCTCGGCTTCCCCCAGACTTCAGTCCCAGATCTTTTGTTATCGTGTTACCAGGTTCACACAGTCTTCCAGGGTCTAACTTTGGTGCTGCAATTCTCCTTGGGAGAATTGCTAGAACCGGGTAGTCTGAGGTTTTGTCGCCACCATCATCTAAATCAGTGCATTCGTTTATTCAACAAATACTTATTGGGCATATACTACATGTTCCAGACATTACCCCAGCTTTGGGGATAGAACGATGAACGTGACAGACAAGGTCTCTGCTCTTATGAAATTTAAATTTTATTAAAGAGAAGAGCTGAGACTGTACCTCAGTGGCAAGCATGAGCCCCTGGGTTCAATACCCAGAGAGAGAGACAAAGAAATACCAGTATTAAGTGCTGTAAAAGATAGTGTGAAGCCGGGTGCCGGTGGAGGAGGCAGAGATCAGGAGGATCGCGGTTTGAAGCCAGCCTGGGCAAATAGTTCGTGAGACCCCTATCTCGAAAATACCCATCATAAAAAGGGCTGGTAGAGTGGCTCAAGGTGAAGGCCCTGAGTTCAAGCCCCATTACTGCAAAAAAAAAAAAAAAAAAAGATAATGTGATAACGAATGACCACTTTACATTAGCGATATTTCATCTCAAGAGGAAGCTCCATTTAAACTGACATCTGAATGACAATAAGGAGCCAACTAGCAGAATATTCCAAAAGATAAGTTGATGGATTCATCAATGCTAAGGCAATAAAATGGATATAAATTTGGTTAATTCCAGGGGGCTAAGGTGTTAAGACTCAGTTAGCTTAAAGCAATGGAAAGTAGGAATCTGGCCCAATTCTAAGTACCTGAAGAGGTTTAAGTTGGAGCATTAGGTAAATATCATCTTCAGACTTGTGAACCAGAGAGAAATTGAAAGGCTCAGATAAAGCTTTTTCTTCTGGCTTTTTCTCTTTACAGATTGCCACCTACATATCCTTGAACAAAACTATACCATATGACCATCTCTAGCTATAAGGGCACCTGGAAGTTTTAGCGTTTTCTTTTCCAACCTCTATAGTAAAGAAAGGCAAAAGACTAGATGAAATAAATGTTTAGGACTGCGGATGTAGTTTAGTGGTAAAGCATGTTGCCAGACATGAACAAGGCCCTGGGTTCAATCTCTGGAACTGTGAAAAAGTAAAAAGAAGTGTCTATAAAACCTATATAATTTCAGTTCCAAGATACTTGTTTATTAAATATTTGTTCATGAGGCTGGGAGTATAGCTCAATGGTAGAGCATGTGGTTAGCATGTGAGAGAAATAAATACATTTTTGTTCTTTTAAATATCAACAACTTCCTCCGGGCACCAATCAATAGTTCATGCCTGTAATTCTAGTCACTCAGTAGGCAGAGATTAGGAGGATCGAGGTTCAAAGCCAGCCTTGGCAAATAGTTTGCCATAACCTATCTCGAAAATGCCCAATACAAAACAGGGCTGGTGGAATGGCTGAAGTGGTAGACTGCTTGTCTAGCAAGCATAGGCCCTGAGTTCAAAACCCAGTATTGCCAAAAAATTAAGAAAGAAAAAGAAGGCTTGGCACCAATAGCTCATGCCTATAATCCTAGCTATTCAGGAGGTAGAGATCAGGAGGATTGCAATTCAAAGCCAGCCTGGGCAAACAGTTTGAGACACCATATCTCAAAAAACCCATCACAAAACAGGGCTGGTGGAGTGGTGCAGGCCCTGAGCTCAAGCCCCAATACTGCAAAAAAAAAAATATATATATATATATATATATTTTTTTTTACTATGTTTGCATTAGAATTATGTTATAGCTCCTTTTTTCCCTCTATTTATTTTTTTTCTTGTTATATCTCCTTTTAATGGATTCCATTGCACAGGGGTTCAGGACATCTTGATCTTCTGCAGTTACTGGTTCACCTCCTGTCTGATGTATCAGTTATCTATTATATAATAGACATCATCAAAACAGTGGCTTGGGCTGGCAGAGTGGCTCAAGTGGTAAGAGCGCCTGCCTAGCAAGTGTGAGTTCAAACCCCAGAACCACACACACACAAAAAAAAGAAAGACATGAAAAAACTCCTCAAAACTTAGTGTTTCTTGGGAATCTGTGAGTTGAATTGGCCACTCTGTTGTCTCTCCTGGATTCACTCACATTTACCCAGCCCCCCAGGTTTCCACAGCTGTAGTTGAGCCCTACAACTCCATCCTCACCACTCACACTGCCCTGGAGCATTCTGATTGTGCCTTCATGGTAGACATGAGGCCATCTATGACAGCTGTCGTAGAAACCTCTGTATTGAGCACCCAAGCTACACTAACCAGAACTTGCTTTGTATATCTGATATATTGTAGTCTGTTGACTGTATAAAACTTATTTGGCTTCAGTAACAGAAAAACCCAGGTTCAATAGCCTAAACAAATATGCAATTTATTTTTCTCACATAACAAAGGTGGAGGCAAGTGACATTAGTTCTGTTGCTCCATGATTTCAGTATGATTATAGCTCTCTTGACTCTTCTCATGCTTGTCACCTCATGGTTACAAGATAATTTCAACTTCAGGCATCACATCTAAATTTCCAAAAAGGCATTAGTGATCATATTGATATCAAAAATGAATATTTCCCTATTAATTTCATATTCAAAAGTTTGACTCAAACTATTTTTTTGGCAGTGCTGGGGATTGAACCCAAGGCTTTGCACATGCTAGGCAAGAGCTCTGTCACTGAGCTACATCCTCAGCCCTGCTTTTGCTTTTTAAGACAGTTTCACCATGATGCCCAGGCTAGCCTTGAACTAGAGATTCTTCTCCCTCAGCCTCTCAAATGCTGGAATTACAGGTGTGTGACAGCATGCCCAACTGAATAGAACTTATTCTTGAAATGTAAGAATGGGAGCCAGGCTCCCATAATCCTAGATACTCAGGAGGCAAAGATCAGGAGGATCGTAGTTCGAAGCCAGCCCTGGCAAATAGCTTGAGATACCCTATCTGGAAAACACCCATCACACACACACACACACACACACAAAAAAGGCTGATAGGTGACTCAAGGTGAAGGCCCTGAGTTCAAACCCCCCATACCCTCACCTCCAAAAAAAAAAAAAAAGAAAGAAAATAAATATAAGAATGAAAAAGAAGAGAAATACCATCAAGCTATCACTATTTTGTTGATGATGATACTTGAGATTGAAGCCCAGGCTTCACACGTGCTAAGCACTCACTCTAAGCATTCATTCTTAGCACTGAGCTATAGCTCTAGCCCTAATCTATTACTTTATAGGATATGCACTTTCAAATATGTTTATGTAGTGCTCACTCTGGCAGTACATACGCTGAAATTGGAACAATACAGAGATTAGTATAGCCCCTGTGCATGGATGGCATGCAAATTTGTGAATCATTCCACATTTTTCTGTCATTTACATAAAAAATGTGTACATGTAAGTTAACATATTAAATATAACTTAGACATTTGTTTATTTAACTCCTAAAAATTGGCTTAAGTTGGCCAGGCAACAACTTCTATTTTAGATCTACTAAATAGAAGAGGATGATCATCTGTGATGGCTAATCTTGGTTGTCAACTTGATTAGATTGAAAGACACCTAGGAAGTTAGTAAAGCACACCACTGGGTGACTTTGGGGGCTTTTCCAGAGATGATTAGATCATGAGTGCTCTGACCTAAAGAATGAATTAATCCATTGATGGATTCAAAATTTAAATAGATTATTGGGAGGTGGTAGAATGTGGGCCCTAGCTGGAGGAAGTAGGTTACAGGGGGCATGTCTTTGATGAAGAGTATATCTTAGGCCTAAGCCCCTCCTGTCTCTGTGTTTTCTTCTCAACTGTCCAAGTGAACAGCTTTCTTCTGCCATGCCCTTTATTCATGATGTTGTGGTCTTGCCACAGGCCGAAAAGCAAAGGAACCAGGTGACCCTGGACTGAATTCTCTGAAGTGTGAGCCAAAATAAATCTTTGTCTTCCTTTTAAGTTGTTTCTGCTTAGGTATTTTGTTGTAGTGACACAAAACTGGCTAATGAATCATCTAATTTTGGTATCAATTTTTCAAAAATCATATGCAGTTATAGAAGACTGCATATGATAAAATGCATAGCCAGTCACTAGTGGCTCATGCCTGTAATCCTAGCTACTTGGGAGACTGAGAATGACAGGATTATGGTTTGAGGCCAGCCCAGGCAAATAGTTCAAGAAACCCTATCTTGAGAAAACCTATCACAAAAATGGACTGGTGGAGTGGCTCAAGGTGTAGGTCCTGAGTTAAATCCCCAATACCACCACCAAAACAAAACAAAAAAAGAATCACACCATATTCCATAAATATATACAATTACTGTGATAATTAAAAATAAAAATATATTTAAAAAATGCAAAAATGGCTGCACTGGTTGTTCAGGCCTGTAATATTAGCTACTCA